CAAGGCCTGGTTAGTGAAATGAAATAAAATAAAATATAATAAAATACACTAAAAATTAAGTATATGACAGGATTAAGTTTTTGCATTTTGACATTATTATTATTCTTTCATTATTTTAGTGAAAATTAATCACTTCCCCCATGTTTTGTAATTCATTTATTTTTATTTTATAATTCACATTTATCTCTGTTAATCTCTCTCATTTACAATATTACATTTTGTGAACTTAAAAGTTCTACAATGAACCTGAAATCTAATTGCAAGTCAGTGATTTCATTTGGGTCTCTCATGAACACTTCCACTCTTCTCTTCCATTAAGGTGATCAATGAGTCCACTCAGAACCACGATGACCTGGAGCGATGAAGGAAATCTTCTACTGCTATCATCCACTGCAAGCAACCAAATGCAGCACCTTTCTGTATCCCAACTATATGAGCAACCCACAATAACCTGCTTCAAAGTGCCTTTCTATCTGCCAGAAAGATGCCTTATAAGTGTTTGAGCCTGTAGAGGAAGTGTAGAGATAGCACACAAGCACAGAAACAGACCTTTAGCGTACTGTGAACCTTTTTATTGTCTGAACCTGCATTTATTTTCCACATAGCTTTTTTGAGACAACATAATTTTGTTTAAGCAAAATGCTCCAATAAAAACAATCAAAGAAGAGTTTGTATTCATAAAGAACCTCATTCTTTGTCTAAATGTTCTTCCATGGGCTATTATTATTATTATTATTATTATTATTATTATGGTTAATTTGCTAAAAACAAATACATGTTTTTAAAGTAAAACAGTAAAAGCCTTAATGACAAAAATCCAGAATTTTTTTTCACATGATTCCATTTTTAGCGGATTTTTAATTGATTCTGGCTCATGGATTGGTTCAAAATAAATTCCAACAGGACTCCTGTATAAATGCCTCAGTATATTGGATTAGTGAGAAAAAAAAAATAAAGTTTTGAGATGAAAAATAATTGTGTGAATTAGTAGAGAATTTTATATATATATATATATATATAGTCTTTTAATACTCTGTTCCTGGTCTTGGAACTGGTCTTGGGTTTGAAGCCCATCATTGCCATCTTGTGGACCAGAAAATAGGCGCATCCTCAAGTTTAAAGTCCCCATGATATCAAAATTAAAGTTTTTTGGGTGTATAATATCAAGTTTTTTGGGTGTATAGTATCAAGTTTAGTATCAAGATGTTAGTCTATAAGTCAGTGCGCTCCAAAACAGTGACAAAATTCGCATTTAGAAGATATAAGCATTCAAAGCTTGCAGTTCGTCACTTCCGCCAAAACGGCTCAATGATGTTTTTGACGTCACATCGTACTTCAGCTTCACATCAAACTTTCTGTCCAACCACAAAATGTATCGGAGCTATTTGAATTCTACACAGAATGCTATATTTTATAGCAATATGGATGAGATTGTGGCTGGCATACCCTGTCAAATGCGGCTTTACGGAGCTCAACGGCTCTGAACGGCTCTAGCCCAAGCTGTGATATAAACGAACACTATTGGCTATTTTAAAAAGGGGCTGCTTGATATGTCCCACCCTGTCTTCCTGTTTCAGTTAAAATGACGTCAACACATAGAGTAACGCTGCTGTTTCTAAGCATTTCAGGGGACCTTTAAGTCTGAAAGTCCGCTAGTTCACTTGCATTGGTCCGGACCAAATACAATGTTGATTTATTTATTTATTTTTTTTGGTGTGGTTCGCTTTCGCACTGCCCTTTTTGCAAGTGAACCAGAAATTGTAAACAAAACCACAAGTGTGCTAAGGTCATTCATTCATTGGACAGAAATTCTCAAGCATACCAGAGTTCGTTTGGAACCGGACCGAGACTACCTCTTCAGCTGGGCAGTGTTGCCAACTTAGCAATTTTGTTGCTAAATTTAGCAACTTTTCAGACTACTCTAGCAACTTTTTCTTCCAAAAGCACCTAGCAACAAATGTAGCTATTTTTAAAATTTATTTGGCAACTTTTAGCAACTTTTGATAAGTGACTCAAATGATAAAAAGGCACATTTTCCATCTAAATAATCACAAAAAGAGGAAACCAAATATGCCTAGCAGTACACACATCACATGAATAAAGTTAGCTGCTATTTGCAATTGTTCAATTTAATAATAATAAATAAATTGTTGAATAATTGTTCATTTATGATACACCTTGTTAGTAGCTTGTACCTGCGATTGTTGATCAGTTAGTATACACTGTAAGAAAAATATCTAGAAAAAGAGAAAAGGTACTAGTAATTTTCCAGGACATTATCCATTATCCGTTTTAACCCTGTAACCTGAAAACACAAAATACAATGTGTAATTTAAAATGCAGGGAAAAAACCTGTGAAAAATCAATACGGAAAATGTCTTCATATTAACATAATAGATTGTGCCCTATTTTTAAAGACTTGTCTTAGAGTGTAGCATTCTAACTAAATACTAATACACTGCTTATAACTAGCATATAACTGTTCAGAATGTGTACTTTCACTAGTTTATTAGTTAATTTAAAAACAAAACAAAAACAAATTGAAATTGTTCAAAAATATGTGTTCAGTTATTCAATGTTGCACTTAAAAATACAGTTATTTATATTTTATTTTATTATGCATTTATATTTTTACAAACAAATCTAAATTAACATATATGAAATATATATTTTTGCTGAGATTTGATGTAGTGACAATTTTGCATTGTGATTACGTAATGACGTCAACGCGCAATGACATCACAACGTCATTAAGCAACTTCTATAGCAACATATCGACCTTCTTTTTTAGCAACTTTCCCTGAAAATTAGTTGGCAACACTGCAGCTGGGTCTCGGTGCGGTTGTTTGGTCTGCACCCGAGTGCGATTGCTGTATTCACACCTGCCCAAAAGATCCGCACCAAGGGGGGAAACGAACTTGAGTTTGATTCAATCGAACCAAACAAGACAGGTGTGAATACACCCTCAGTTTTAATGGACCTTTTCTAAACAAGGTGCTTCTCTCAGTGAGGAACATCCGTGTCCTCTCTTAGTGGTTCATGTGGGACAGGAGGTGTGTTCCTGTCTGTTTGTTCCAGTGATGGAGATTTGTACTCCCTGGACACGAGCGTTCAAGTTCCTGTTGGCTCCCAGGGAAGCACACCGAGAGCTCGTGTGTTTGGTGTCATAACTCACTGCCATTTTTAAAGCAATAGCTCACAGAAGTGAAAATCATTTACCCCGTGTCATTCCAAATGCATATGATTGTCTTTCTTCTGTGTAATACAAAATGAGAATTTTTGAAGAATGTCCATGCTACTATTAATTCAGGGAGAGAAGAGTGACTGAATGGCTGTCAAGCTCTATAAAGGACAAAAAAGTATAATTAAAGTAGTCCATACAACTCATCCACTCCCGTTCAAAGCCATAAAGTTGCTTTGAGTGATGGACAAACTGAATTTTAAGTCGCTATTTTCTACAATCTTCCCATTTGTCATTTATCAAATCTCATTTACTCTCATTTGCACATATTTATGCATCATGATCAAGGGTTCAATGTCAGTTATTTCAGACAACATACTCATGCATCCTCTGGCCAATTAAAGCAAACTTGAATTGTTTTCAAAAACTGCTTAAAAATACATGTTTGTGAAACCTGGGGCAGCAACAAACTAGCTGGTCACACCAGTTTAAGGTGGTCAACTTGGTTAGGAAAATGTTGGTTAACCAGCTACTGGATAGTAGGCTAAATGGACCTATAATGACCAGCTTAGAGTATAGGCTATAGCTAGAAACCAGCTATCAAGCTGGAGTTTGCATCAGGAATGAGAAAGCAAATAGAGAAACTTCCTATGTCATGAAATGATGACAGAATTTTATATATATTTTTATAGCCCTTATTACTCGATTATGCAGATCAGAGAAGTACATTTTTGTAAAAGCAAAACTGTAAACAAAATTGTAATGACCAGCTTAGAGTATAGGCTATAGCTAGAAACCAGCTATCAAGCTGGAGTTTGCATCAGGAATGAGAAAGCAAATAGAGAAACTTCCTATGTCATGAAATGATGACAGAATTTTATATATATTTGTATAGCCCTTATTACTCGATTATGCAGATCAGAGAAGTACATTTTTTGTAAAAGCAAAACTGTAAACAAAATTGTAAAAAAGCATAAACTGTAATAAGTAGGCTAGTGACAGTTTTGTTTTAAAATATTTAGAATATTCACAAAACAATTCATACCAAAATGATTTCTGTACACTGGAAATGTTTTCAATTTATGAATTAAAAATATGTATTTTTATATTTATATGTTTGTGTATTGTGTATAAACAAAAGTATAAATACTGAACTAATGGAGAATGTTGCTTTCCAATGTCGAATCCCCCTTTATAAATATTATTACATATCATTTTAATTGCGAATGTAATTGTATGTATTTGTAGCTCGCCAGAGTCGGATTTCATTAATGTGATACACTTGACAGACTAATTACAGACGCTTGTTTTCAACGCTCGCGACCCCAGAGACTCGTGTTTTCTAACTAACTTTATTCTTGTGACGACCGCGCGAGCGTCTCCCGGGTAAGCGCACAGGAGATTTCCGCTGGTTTTCATCGTGTCTAGTTGACAAAATGACACTCGGATAGACCGAACCGGATGCGGGGAAGGTGGTTCAGCGCATTTTGATCGCTCAGAGGACACGGTTTGCTTAGTATCGTAGTTTTATGAGGACGCGAGAGCAATGACAGAACCTGAATCCAAGTCATGGAGCGTGTAACTGTGTTTCCAAAGCAGACGTTCAGTCAGCTGAAGGTTTTGTTTGGCAGAGATGGGCTCAGTGACCTCAGCTTTCACCAGGTCTCGCAACACGTTGGTCAAAGTGGGTTCGGAGCCGCAGAAAGAGCCGGACGGGAAAACGCGGAGCGGGTCTGGTGTGATCGCGAAGCAAACTAGCAAACAACCGCTGGCGCGGAAAACAACTGGCAGCTGCAGAGCAAACACGCCACAAACTTCTGCTTCTGCAACAGGTGAGTTTCTTTAAGCTTCTGTCAGGAGGCATATTCTCATGCGAGTATATTAAAGCATATTAAGCTGAAACTGCTTGTTTTTGTTTATGTACAGTAGCCCCAAAAGTAGTACTATTTGGAGTCTTATTTGGAATACCAAAATATCAGACCAAAACCAAATGACATCCTTTTTATATGAAAGTAAAAAATGTCTATGTTGTGTAACTGTGAAAATCTTCCAATGGCTGATTTAAAAAAAAAATAAGTAGTGACAATTTTGTTTTAAGATATTTACAATATTCATACCAAAATGATTTATGTACACTGAAAATGTTTTCAATTTATGAATTTAAAAATATATTTTTAATATAGTATTGTGT